AAACCTTACTTAGCATGACAAGCATCTTGAGATTCTAATGAGGCTGGCAAGGGCACAGCCCCAGAGCGCCCTCTGTGGAAGGCATTTTTTGCACCCATTGGGAACATATAAATGATCTCTTCCGTAATGTTGAATTGCAGCAGGTTGAGTGGCAGCTCCCACGTGTTGAATTGGGTGTAATGGCAACTTCCTGTTGCCGCTAGACTTGACACCACAAGCCACACAGAACTTATGACAGCTCTGTATGTGTCATTCTGCTTTAAAGGGGTGGTTGATTGCGGTTTCACTTTTTTAACATTAGTTAGTGTGTAATGTTGCTGTTTGAGCATAAACAATATCTGCAAAGTTACGAAGCTGAAAGTTCAATGCAAACGGAGATATCATCTTTTAAAATTCTGGCAGTTTAATGCCTACAAAAACGGCTGGTAGGGACTACAACAAGTTACTTCCCGGGTTCGTGACATCACAAACCCAGATAAACCCCGCCCTCGGGAAAAGGCAACAAAGGGGGCGAGGCCATGCTGCGCTGCTTTAGAGAAGAGGAAGCGAAAACTAGAGGTGCACGTAAAAATCTATTCATATATGAATCGCGATTCTGTCTAATAACGAATCTAATAGATTCACAAGTTTCAAAATCAATGTTCTAAAGCAGCGGTTCTCAATCCTGTTCCTCGCGTCCCCCTGCTCTGCACATGCTCTGCATCTCTCTCTCTCTCATTCAGCTCAGCAATGAACTGTTCCAATTATACAGTTATTTTCACATAGCTATGAGAAGCATTAAACATGGACGCGTGTGCAGTTGCTGTACTGTATTAAAGCTTTAATTAGGATAAAACCGTATATATTAAAAGCTAACATAAGCTCTTCAATAATATCCTCTGCTTCTCAATCAGGCTCAAACTGATAAGTAAGGGATTATCAACGGCTAGCTGTGCATTAAACAATTTGAATGCACGACGTGGAGGCGAAGAACCACCCGACGCGCAGCGAAGTGCATTCAAATCGTTTAATGCACAGCTAGCCGTTGATTATCACGCTCATGCCATGGTCATTTGCCAGCAGTCACATATTAAAGATGTTAATAATATTTGCGCTGCAATATTTGACCGGAACGATAAAAATGACGGTTATTTTCGTCAGTTACAACTTGTTAGATGTAGCATTCTACTCGCTTTAAATAAGACAGAGCAGACACATATATTAAGTAGTGCAGTAAGATTACATTTATTTGAATGAATTATGGTCAAGGTTAGGTATTCCAAGCCATTCTCGTCTTGTCGGAGAACGAAAGACTCTTTAGATAGGTCACGGTTTCCTTCTCTCTCCCTCCGTGCGAAACAGCTGTATGTCAAACCAAACTTTGCGTACAAGCCCGATGGGTGTGAATGGGGAGAGCGCAGGTGAATTTAAAATTTTCTCCAGGTCGGACATTTATGATGTTGTGTTTTGTGATGTAACGGTTAATACCCGCTCTGATACACTTCAGGCTTGCAACACTGTATTCGCGGCCGGTAGTAGTCTGAACAGAGGCATACAATTCTCGCAATGTCTCATTAAGTTCAGAAGCCGAGTAAGTCTCAACAGCATAATTTTTTTTCTTCTGATACAAAAAGTCTTTGAATGTGGTAATTGCCCATTTAGTAGTCTTTTTTTGTATTAACCTAACTTTTCCACGACATTCTAATTTATTGAGATGCACCTGTACCTTCCACCTGAAAGACAATTTAGATTTGGAAAATATTACAGGTTATCTACAAACAGTTTGAATTCATAGGGTGAAAAATTGAATATCTATTAAATATATTAGCTACCTCTTCACAAATATGTTTTAGCATATTGCCGAGGTAGCTGATTCCCATTGGCTCCCTGGTGAACCACACTTCAGTGTCCTCGAGTTTGCACAAAGGGATGCGCCTGGGATGCAGATAAAAGGCTCCGGCGTTGACAGGACACTTTGATAGATATTTTTTTAAGCTTTCCACGGGACAAAGTGGTTCACCGGGGCACTCGAACATAAATCCTCGTAAATTCTCTCTGTCAGATGCAGTAGGATCTTTGTGATTTTTTGTTTCTGGGTTATGTGCCAAGGTTAGGTATTCCAAGCCATTCTCGTCTTGTCGGAGAACGAAAGACTCTTTAGATAGGTCACGGTTTCCTTCTCTCTCCCTCCGTGCGAAACAGCTGTATGTCAAACCAAACTTTGCGTACAAGCCCGATGGGTGTGAATGGGGAGAGCGCAGGTGAATTTAAAATTTTCTCCAGGTCGGACATTTATGATGTTGTGTTTTGTGATGTAACGGTTAATACCCGCTCTGATACACTTCAGGCTTGCAACACTGTATTCGCGGCCGGTAGTAGTCTGAACAGAGGCATACAATTCTCGCAATGTCTCATTAAGTTCAGAAGCCGAGTAAGTCTCAACAGCATAATTTTTTTTCTTCTGATACAAAAAGTCTTTGAATGTGGTAATTGCCCATTTAGTAGTCTTTTTTTGTATTAACCTCATCCTTGTCGTCTTCAATCTGCTTCAGCTCTGCTGGTGTTATTTCCTTGTACCGTTTTTCTTTACATTTCTCGTTTGATGTTATATTCTCCAGTTCGTCCAGTTCATCTTGTGCCTCTGCCCATTTATCAAAATTGCCATAATGACCGTATAAGCTAAATGACACGCGAAAATCATACATTTAGCCTAGCTAAGAAAATCGGAAATGTTTACTGTAACTGTCTCACTCTGTATTACTATTCAACTGTAACTGTATGTTACTATGGTTACCAATGTTTATAGGAAGCACATTAATATAGAGCGTGATTAAACTGACCTGGAACTACCTGTGCAGTTAAACGAATTTAATCAACACCTGCCAGCCAATCAGAATCGAGTATTCAGACAGACCATGGCATAATGATTATGTGAGACAACAACAAACAAACATACCATTACAACCCGTGCTTGCACAGGTTCTGCACGATCCTCTTCAGTAATATCCTCTGCTTCTCAATCGGGCTCAAACTGATTAGCGATATCAATGACGCCGTTGTTTACAATACAACCGGAGCACATGCCGCCGAGGTGAGGGGCGGGACGATTAGACGAGCACTAGAGGCGGTTTAGCCAATCACAACACACTGGGCTAGCTAACCAATCAGAGCCCATCGCCTATTTCTGAGGGAGGGGCTTCATAAAAGCAGGAAATGATCAGCGCGTTTCTCAGAGAAGGGACAGAGCGGTGTGGAATAAAGGTAAATTATGTGAAAAATAATGCGTTTTTTTCAAAACAAAGCATTAACACATGTTAGACTGCACCCCATAAACACAATCAAGCCTATAAAAAAACCAGTGAACCACCCCTTTAATAAAATACATTAATGTTTAATGTGACCAGTGCATGTCGATAGCAGGTGACATCTAGTTTTTGTTTTTGTTCATTGATGAATCGATATGGAAGCGATTGTTTGGTTATGTTTATGTTTTTATTAGTGGGTGGCAGAAAAATGTACTTTTGTAAACCTGAAGTCATAAATAAAGTGATAGATATTTTACAGTATATGCTTTTTCCAATATGGCTTTTATATTTTATTTATTTTTTAGGTAATTGTTTCAGAAACTAACTAAATAATTGGTAATAATTAATTATTATTTTTACTGTTTTTGTTGCCTGGCCATCCTGGAGACTTTCATTTTTTAAACTGCTAATTGGTTACAGTTGTATTTTTCCATATAGCCCCCAACTCATTCAGTAAAGAGTACATGTTTTGTGTGATGCAACAGACAACTCAATACTGATAAGTAAGCCGTTGGTTCAGAGAGTTTGCTCTGCTTATCTCATGTCTTATCTTACTGCTTTTTGTAAATAAAAACATCTTTTTGTGAAGGTCGAGGGGCTGAGGGATAGTACACTTGTCTCTAAACCTACTTTTGCCCATGCTTTATCTTTTCCCTGTGTCCAGTGTGGTGTTTTATTTGATATTTATTTATTTACATTTTTGTTAATTTGTTATTCTATTTGCTGTACGCATTCTTCCTTGTTTGCTATTCTCATTAAGAGAACCATAGCAGTAATTTTCCACTGAAATATTAGTGCATGTTCACTTGCCATAAATATGAGTGAAAGTTCACTCGTCCAGGCTGAGGTATTAATTTCAAATGGTTGGTCTGGAGAAGCGTTCACTTTAATTCAGGAGGAGTGATGTACTGTGTTGCCTGGTGTCAGGATGAGTGGTTCACAACAACATTAGAGTGATTTAAGAGGTTCCAGTTGGTAAATTGCTACTTGAGTCTTAGTCTTACCTGGTATAGCGTAGAAGCACAAGAAACTTAAATTTGAGACATTTCTCCATTTCCTAAGTACTAATGTAGAATCTAAAATTAAGGTAACACATGTTACATGTACTTACTATTATAATAGCAATTAATTATGCATACATGCAAGTAACCCTAAACCAAACCCTAATCCTTCCTAACCCTACCCATATAGTAAGTACATGTAGTTAATTAATATTACTCAGTAGTTAAATGTATAATTACACTGTAACAAGGACACCTTAAAATCAAGTGTAACCAAAATTAAGGATGTTCATGTGCTACATTGTTGTAGTAAAACAGCAGGATTGTATGTGGGAAGTTGTCATACCAATCCAGAATATAGACAGTTTGTTACCTGATGTAGGCTATAGGTTAATTTGGTAAATCATTGTCGTTTTCTAGAAGCTTATGTTCTGTACCTATCTGTACTGTAGCCCTTTGTTTTAGCTATTTGCTGAAAATACTAAATCTTTTCATCCTGGTTTACAGTATAAGCATCCTCTACATCACTTCACAGAATAATCATAATATCAGACTTTTACAGTCTCATAAACTCCAGCCACACTTCCAGCCAGAACATGGACAGTGTTATCAGCAGTTATGAAATGATTGTTTTAGAGAGAGAACAATAGTTGCTAATAGTTGCTTTTCCCCCCTCTTCCTCCCTCCTTCTCCCTGTCACATGTTCCTTTCACAGCATAGAAAAGTTCCTGGATTAACGCAGAATTAGCACAAAGCAGGGACGCCACCTCAGCCCAACATTGCAACTAGCGGAGAGAGGAAACGATTGAGGGAGAAGCAGTGTGCAGCAGAAACTAAGACGCATACCCCAGCAGCTCAAGACGAGTTCCAGAGAGCACAGAGACAGGCCAGGACGGGCATCCTTCCGGAAAGGGGACCCACGCCGAAGAGAGCTTCAAAAGCATGGAGGAAAAACAATTTTCTGGCATACTGGTGAGTCACTCTTGCATTTTGTAACTTTTATTAGAAATATTTCCTTTCTTCCCTCCCATGTCCAGGTTTTCACAGCTATATTTTTTTATTTTAGATATTTTAAAAAGTTTTTAAACATTTAAAAAGTTATTATATGTATTTCTTAGTAACATGTCCTGGCATTTTTTTATTGTCCGAATAAAAGTTACTTCTCAAACAAATCAAAGCATTTTGGATCAGGCCACAGTTCTTAAAAACTAACTTATTTTATGATTAAATGAACAAAGCGTAGAGAAAATAATTAATTGTTTCAAAGAACATATTATCAGACCTTAAACCGAATTACAGGGTTTTTCCTACTTACAGCTTTTATAATAAAGACTCTCTGGAGTAGTAGAAATTCCCTGGCAGCTTACAGATATCTTTAACTAATGATTAGGTGAATATAAAAAATTGGATGAATTTAACAGAGGATGTGGTATAATTTAGGGAAGAAGAAAGCACTTTCATGATGCTTTGTCATTTTATGAATCCTCCCTCACGGCTATTTTGTGTTGTAAGAAATGTCTTGTAATCCACTGCTTCATTAATGGATTTAAATAAATGAAGACATTTTTCCAAATGATTGTGAAAGTAATTTAATCCTGGAATTTAAAACTGTATATGTCTTCTGGGTGAGGCTTTTAAAAATTGTTTCCAAACCCTGATGGCTTTATTAACCATTGCTGTGCTGAGGGTACACACATCTGGCAGTGTGAACTGATGGGACAGTTGCGTAGTAAAACAGTGTTGCAATACCATAATGCAAGAGTGACAGTCAGGGATGTATGACGTCTTCTAAATTGATGTGTCAACAAAACTAGCATAATTCTTCAAGTTTTTCAAAATAACTTTTTAATTAAAATAGCTTTAATTTCAGTAAAATAATCCCAAAAAAGATTGATTTTTGATGTGATTATTAGCTAAATTTGCTTCAGATTTTTTATTTTAAGATACATTATTGGTATTTTTAGTGTTTCTAATTGCTAATTTCCCGAAGTGTGATATGTTTGTCTGAAGTGTCAGTGGTTTGTGTGGAGCTGCTGTGTGGCTGGACTTTTGTTCGGGGTGAGTGATGTTGTAGACTCTTGTTTGACTTTGACTAGGTTATGTGTTTCTGGTTCTGGGCTGTAACTGTACAGAAATCATATTTCACTGCTTAAACTGTTTCTCCATTTAAACCAGTCTTATTTTTTAATTTTTATAAGCTGTGTCACCTGATTACATAAAATGAGAATTATGGCAGAATGTTCTGGTACAATTTTAGTTTGAATTATAATAATAGAAATAAGGATTACAATATTCCACAACTGGACTATTTACAACCTTATCCCTTCTAAATTCTGTCCCAAAGACTTTCAGGAACATGGATGTCGACTGGATATGGAAGTACATATGAGGAATATGTTGTGAACAGGTTGTAAAGCTAAAAAAAAAGGGACCCACTTTATATTAAGTGGCCTTAACAACTATGTACTTACATTTAAATTAATAATTTGGTACAATGCACTTATTGTGTACATACATGTTTTTACATTGTACTTATATTTAAAAAATACCTGCATGTAATTACATCTGTAATTAATTTCTGTAATTACATTTATAATTACACAGTTGACCCATCCCTTACACCTTAACCCACCCTTAAACCTACCCATACCAACAAACCTGTCCCTAACCTTACCCGTATCCCACCTTAATAGCAGCAAAAGTGTTTTGCAATACAATATGAACACAATAAGTACATTGTACTTAATTTTTGATGTAAGTACATAGTAGTTAAGGCCACTTAATATAAAGTAGGGCCAAAAAAAGTTGCTGGGGTCCAATAGTAAATAAACCTTAGTGGTCCATCCCCACCCTTGTCCTCCCCTCGTGTGATTGGTTACAGAAGTTGTAATGTTATGGGTCCTGTCTATCTCTGTGTTCTTATAACTGTATTGTCCTGTACTTTTAGCCTTGTACTGTGTCCTGTACATTTTGTACATCTAAACATGTTTATTTATTTATTTTTGTGAATGAGCATCTTGCAGATGGAATACATCTGATTTGATGTTTCTATCAAATTTATGGTAAAATTCAAAAATGGGTAAATAAAACCCATTATTTTTCATTGAACATTATTATTCTTTTTTTTTTTTTTTTTTTGGTGTCACTTTAAATCATAATCTTAATTTATTATTTTTCATAATTTTTTTCTTTCAAGGTTGTTTTTCAGATGTTTTTGCCCCCCATAGAGAATTGCATTAACATTCTGGCTTTTATACTTTTTCGGGCACCTTACCCTGTTTTTTTGTGGTGAGATGTGCTTTTGGCAGTCAGTGGTATTCATTAAAACTCACTGTGTTGTGTGCAATGTTGGGGAGTGCAGAGGTTTGGTTGGCTCTCGTGAAGGGAAAGAAGATATTGACCGGCACATTTGTTTACTCATCACCCTAAATGACTTTTACTGATTGCACATCATTGAACACAAATATTCTTATATGATATCTGACCAAGTGGACGTGTTTAGTACTGTAATAGATGGTTTTTGTGTGCTGTCAAAAGGCATTGCTTGAATGGCGGTAAGTCCTCTTTGTCTCCGACAGAAGCTGTTCAGCTTTAAGAATATCCTGACGTGCTGACAATGAGATATTGACAGCGTAAAACCCATTGTTACCCTCTGACAGTGACAGTAGAGCATGTTAGCACTGCGGTAACCCAAAACATAATTAGAGACGAGTAGAATGACATGAGAGAAATTAATGCTGGAGCTGTCAGACATTCAGAAGCAGTTGCTGAGGAACTGTTGATGGAGCTGTGATGACCCTTTGCCGTACTCGCTTCTTCTTCTGTCCCGCTGGCAGCTCTCCAGCCTTTCCCAAGGGTTGTTAATGTGTGCTGCTGTCTGTGAAGTGGAAATTAAAAGGAAACAAATTTTGGATCCCGTAGTCCCTCGGGATGCTGGGCTACTGCTGCACATTTTAACTCTGCTTTGTGGGCTCTCAAACATTTCAAAGCACAGGTCAATTAGGTAGCATTAATCAAAATGAGCAACATTACATGCATACATTTGCTTTCTGTAATTCACGAAGTCTACGGACCCTAGTGAGCTTTTTCACTTTCACATGACATTCTAAATCAGCTAAAATGGAACCTCTAACTTTATATATTTAAAATTGAAAAAAGTGATTGATTTGAAATGCTTCACTTAAGCAGCAGCTGGTTAATGATGACTAATGTGCACCACATAAGCAGTGCTTCTCATGTGAAGTGCATAAGACAGTTGATTCCTATAGAGTTCTGTGTTCTAATGCAAGTTGCTATTCTGCTAAGCTTGTGATGTATTACTTTTAATTAGCACAAAAATACATAGCAAACACATGTGTATTGGCCTAAATCTAAAAGTTTTAATTAGAACTATTTTATTTGTACATTTCAGTATTTAATATGAGTATTGTATTCGTAATGTTAATTATTATATTGAAGTTATTATAATAAGAAATGAAAGAATTATGTTCAGTCCATTAATATTTTTCTTAATATTTTTCTTAAACTTGAAGCAATGTATTTTGGGATTGCCCTTTATGTGTAGGATAACCATCTTTGGAATAGTACACTACCATGCTGCTCTTGCTGTTTCTGCAGTATATATTAGACATAAATATTAAGATTAGGCTGTTTCCACCCCTGCATTAGATTTTAGCCAGAACATGGTGGCAGCTATAAATAACAGAATTTAAAGGGATTATGCACTCAAAAATGAAAATTGTCATCATTTATTCATGTTGTTCCAAACCTGTGTGACTTTTTGTTTTGAAGAACATTTGGAACCCAACAACATTGGAGCCCATTGACCTCCATTGTATGCACAAAAAGTACTAGTGTAGACATTACTCAAAATTCTTCAGTTTTTCATAGAAGAGACAGAGTGATACAGTTTAGGAACAGCCTTTGAGTGAGTGAAATTGCACTTTTTTAGTGAACTATCCCTTTAACACACCTATAATGTCTACTTCAAACTTACTAGCATTTGGTATAGAGCCTATATTTTAGTCAGTCTCTTTATGAAATGTCACATCATTTTTAATGAAATCTATTTTAGTGAAAATGTTATTCTTTCATTTATAATCCAAAGTCTCATTTACAGGTGATGGGCATCAAGTTCAAGGCTGTGCCTAGGTCAGCAGCACTTATGTAAGGAACATATTGAGCTGTCACTCACTCACATTAACTACAGCGTACACATCTTTGTAGCTGTGCAACCGTAGTGCCTTCAGGGGCATGGGAACAGATGTGGTTGAGCAAAGTCAAACATGATTTCTGTCTGTGTTCGAGGCCCAGACTGTAGAGAAGGCAGCCACCGTGGCGTATGCACAATTGGAGGACAAGGGCAACCAAATGCCAAACACGTCCACTGCTGCGATTCCTTTAAGAAACACTCCCCTCCGCTAAAAGGGCCCATTGAGCCTCAGCCTTTAGATTTCATTTGAAGTAACCACTCAGGCTGAAAATTTCGTTTTTCTGTGTTTCTTCCTCTCGCCTTTATATGTGGAGGTACCCCTATTCTACCCAGGCTAAACACAAATACTGACCAAGAAAGAGCCACTTTTTCTCCTTGCTAGCTGAAATTATGGACCGCAGTTTAGCATTGTGTTCCACCCACCTGGCTTCCTAAATCTTCTTTTATTAATATTATTTTTAACGGTTGAATTGAAGTCTCTCAAAGCCTTTTCAGCCCATATTTAGGTAATTTGTTGCGCTTGAACCCGACCTGCTCCCCCCGTGGCGTTGTGAATGGGAGAAAAAGGCATGGGATGAGGGGGGGTCCGCTGTTCTCAGGGTTTCTCCACAGAAACAGCCCCTTGACCTATTATTTATAATTTTGAAGCTCTCCATGTTGAAAGATCACAGCAATACAACCCCTACTTTTGTGTTGATCAGTTCATGCATTAAATTAAGTGCCAGGAAATCCATAATAAATTCAGAGAAAGCACAATTTC